CCTCCCATCACCTCCCGGGAGGACTACGCGCCCGCGCCTGCCCGGGGACGGGGACAGGGACTGAGAAGGGGTCGCAGCGCAAGCGGCTCGCTTCAGACCTCATTCTCGATTTCCACCCCATCGTGGGGGCCAGAACCCCCCTTCAGGGACATCAGTTCCAGGTACCGTCCCTATTTGGTCTGACTAACCTAGTTAGCTTAGTCAGTTCCCGGGACCCCTGGGCAGCCAGTTGGGTCATCTTGAGCAGGGGGAGCACTCCCTGGAGGTGCCCCAGGAAGGAAGCACTCTCCAACCTAACTGGCTCAGCTGAAGGACCCTCCTGGCAGCTTGGAGGTCACCTGAGATGCCAAGCCCAAACCTTGGTCACAGGGCCCCAGAGGGAGGGAAGGTAAGTGGGCTTGGGGGGTAGCTGGTGTCAGCAAAGTTCTGAAAGGCAGGTAGGAAGAGGTGCCAGGCCTCCTCCCTCCAAGATGTTCAGGAGTGCTCTGATGGGGCCTGGGGAGCAGTTGTGTTTAAATCTTCCCACCCCAAACCTTGGTGAGGCTGAAAGGCCTAGCTCGGGGATAGCGCAGTGGACACCCGCATGTGCTTGCACCCAGGGACCCTGTTCAGCCCTCCATGGACACCCCACCTGTTACTGCTACAGCTTTCCTGTCACAGGAAACTGAGGGGCGCATTCTGGTGGACCACTGACCCCAGAGGCATTCAGCCATGTCCAGCTACTGTGCCCAGTGGCCTTAACTAGTACAAGTCAGTTTCCTGCTGGCATTTGGGGGCATATGTAGCCTGCAGTCCTGGCTCCATGGGGTCCCAGGTCAGGCTGGGCTAGAAGACCCTAGGGGGAGGGGAGACAGATCATGCAGAGACCACAATGCTCCCCCTCACTCTGGCTGCCAGGTTCAAGTGTTACTCATACCTGGGAGCAGTGTGTGTCCACTCACTCACCCGTCCCCCTGCTCTGAAGGTGCCCAGAGACCCAGTCAGCAAGGCCAGGCCCCTGGCCTGGGGCAGAAGAGAAAGGCTGGCAGTGTAGTTACCGGCTGATTCCAGGTCTTTGTGAGAACACAGTCCATTGCTTTATTGGGGGTTTGTACAGTCCAGCCAGTGAGAGGGAGGGAGAAGAAGGCAGGCTCGCATGACTGGACACACATACAAGTCAGGGAGCGAGAGAAGAGCCCGGGAAGGAGTCTGTATAATCAACGTCCCACTCGGAACAGGTTCAAGTGGGACACAGAAGCGTGATTGTTTTTAATATGGCATCTATGCATATTTCTCATTTCGTATGTACAATTTATTTGGTAAGACCACCACCCGCCGGCAGAATAACCTAAAGTGAAAACAAAATCGGGAGGATGGTATTCACAGAGGAGGCACCGAGGCGGGGGAAGCAGGTGGTGTGCAGAGGGCGCAGCGGGGTCAGTAGAAGCAGACCGTGTGCAGGAAGGCCCGGCCGCTCTTCTCCTCAAACTCCTGCAGCAGCTCGTCGATCTCATTCTCCATGTCCTCCGTGTGCTGGATCTGCAGAGAGCAGAGCCCGGTGAGTGTGGGGCACTCAGCTCCCGTCCCAGGGAGCCTGGCGTGGAGCGGCGGTGGGAGTGAGATATGCCCACAGGCAAGAGGCCAGCATGGAGGGGGCCTGGGCTTGGCACTGTCACATCCTCTCTAGGACTATCCCACTTCATGGAGTGAGCAGCGAGCCGGGAGGGCAGTGAGGCTGACACCCAGCGGGGGAGAAACCCCGGTGACCACAAGACTAGCACGTGAACAAGGTGAGCACCCCCAGCCTCACTCGGACAGCCGCATCCGGGTGGGTCCCTGGTACTCACACACTGGCACAGCTCACAGATGAGAAAGGCCCCCAGCGTGGCCTCCTCGTGGTTATCCTGGATGTCCACGTTGATGACATGCACTGGCTGGCAGGTCTCCTGCTCCCGGGAATTCAGATCTGATGGGACAGAGTCACAGAGGCTGAGCCTGATGGGGAAGCCTCATTTGTTCCTGGCATGGGAGCTGGCCTTTGGGGACCCAACCAGCATCCAGGCTCAAGCCAAGACCCCGGCCAGCTCCTGCTCGACACAGCACCCTCTGCCTACCTTCCACCACCTGGTCGTAGACACGCTCCTCGCAGGTCAGGATCAGATCAAACAGGTCTTTGCAGTTCTGGAATCTTTCTGGCCGGGGCTTGATTCTCTTGTTCCTGTCCAACATGTGCAAGATGCCGTTCTGTGTGTAGCTGAGCATGAGCGTCAAGGAACTAGACAGGGAGTTTTGGGTCTCACCTCCTGAGCACAGGCCTAGCCGCCCACCTGCCAGGTCACTGGGGCTGGGTGAAGCCCATCACAGCCTGAGCTGCCACCTTGCCTTGCTGCACAGCACCGCACCCCACCCCACCTCCAGGATGCAGAGACGTGCCCGGTGAAGACAGAGTGCATATCCCCCCACCCCACTCCCATCTCGGCTGAGTTACAGCCTAAACCAGAGGTCAGCACACTGCAGCTCAAGGGCCACGTGCAGCTGCTCTTTCGGTATGTACATGTGGCTCTGAAGGAAAATGCAAATAAAACTATCAGTTTCATTTCAAGGATATTATTCAGATGACGATTTCATTTGTTTGTAAAAATATTCTTATGGTTTCAAGTAATTTCTAAATTGTTGTGAGGGACAGGACTGGGCCAAACCAGTGAGCCTCTACCCACTGGTTCTCCAGGCAGGTGTCCAGGCTGGAGGGGCTCGGCTGGCTGGAGGGAAGGTGCTGACACCCGGCTTGGCTCTCACACGAAGCCCCACCATCTGCCTTGAACCCAAGGAGTCATGAGCTGGCAGAGTCCTGCAAGGTAGGGCCACAGCCCCCACCTAAGCCCGAGGGCCTCAAGAATCAGGGTCCAGGGCCAGCCAGCCAGCATGATGCTGGTGAACCCGTGTCAATACCACCTGACTGCACCCTATCGTGGGGCAGGGCAGAGAGCTTGGTCACCAGAACCCAGGCTGTCCATTCCCTCCTCTTGCTGCAGCTTGCCCGACCCCCCGTGGGACATGCTGGGTCTCTTCTCTACTAGATTCAGACTTCACTTTCAACGCTGTTAGTCAGGCCAGCGTGGAGCCACCCTGAAGCAGCCTAGTGACTGATGAGTGACAAGGGCCCAAAGCACCAAGGGGGATGACGGTCACCTGTCATTTGTGCCTTTAATGGACTATCTGAAAGCAGCTTTGGATTTACAGACAAAGTGTGCTCTGCCCCTCATCCACCTCTCTTCCTCACCATCTTCCCGTACCAGCCTTTGGGAGACCTGGCCAGCCGGGAGGCAAGACCTCTTCCTGCAGTGGCTGGGTGGTGGAAGGGCCAGCTCCTCACCAAGGCCTGAATGAGTGCCCGAACCTCCTCCCAAGGCTCAGCTCCCTTCCTCCACCTATAGGTCTTTGTGATCATGAGACACACCGCAAAGTCGCAGGAATAAGGAGAGTATAATTTAGCAAGCAAAGACGGGTATATTGCCTGTCTTTAGGAAGGAGGAAGGCCCCTTTAAGGAGCCCTGTAGCACAGTGCTCACAAACAGGGCTTCTCACCACAAGGTCAGCAGCTCGAAACCACCAGCTACTCTGCGGGAAGGATGGGGCTTTCCACTCTCCCACAAAGAATTGGCTTCAGAAACTCACCAGGGCAGTCCTACCCTGTCCCCTAGAGGACCGCTGTGAGTCTCAATTGAGTCAATGGCACTGAGTTTGGTTTTGGTGTGGTGGCACAGTTGGTTAAGCGTTGGGCTGCTAACAACCGAGGGGTTGGTGGTTTGAATCCACCAGCTGATCCAAGGGAGAAAGTGAAGGCAGCCTGTCTCCAGAGATGGACAGCCTTGGACACCCTGTGCAGCAGGTCCACGCCATCCTGTAGGGGGGCGCTCTCATTCAGAATTCACTCAACGGCAGTGGGTTGGGTTGGGTTAATGGCTCTTTGGAGCTATTTCCTGGGCAATCCCCCTGAGATACGCAGGATGTAGGCCAAGCACCAGGGACAAGATCTAGAAATCCCAAGGGACTGTGCTGGGCCTGGTGTCTGAACGCAATAGGAATGCAGTCACACCCTTCGCTCCCATGTCAGCCCAGTGGGGTGGGAAGGTCAGGGAGCAGAGGAACTGCGAGGAATGTTTCACAATAGGGCTGATGTCCAGGTGCTGCCAAGGACAGGGCAACCATGAGCCAGGGTCCTCAAATACGGGCGGAGCAAGTGGCAAGCATGCCTGAGGGAGGGGAGGGGCACATTGCCATGCCCACACCATCTCAGCGCGAGGGCAGTGATCTCCAAGTACTGAGACCCAGGTGGACCAAGTGTCCAATGGGGCCTCCTCCCTCCCACCCAGACTTCAGTTCTGAGCACAAGCCTGTTGTATGGTCAGTAGAGGGGGAACAGGCCTGGGGTCATGGGAGGTAGAAGCCAGGCTGCGGACAGCCCCCGTGGGGCTCTATGGATAGCACCGGGACAAGAAAACAGAGGTGGCTCCCGTAACACTAGGTGTGCGGACATTTTTCATCCCTACGGGCATGTGTCAAAATGAACGGAAGTGCCGTTTTCACCTTGGATCGGTTCCTCTGGTTAAATGGGTGAAAGTCAGCACAAATGGTGGAGGTCAATGTAAACTGTCCTGCAGTTTTTGTGGAGAAAATCAAAACGCTTCAATAACCCGTCCCACAAGCCTAGTATTAGGGAAGATTGCAGGAGACTGACGCTCAACCCAGGGAATGATCCTATCAAGGACACACCCGTCTCCCCCAGAGCCACCAAGCAAAGGAAGGTTTTCACAACCTGCAGTTGCAGAAAGGGCCCCTATTGACCCCATCGAACCCTCTCGGGTCCAACTACCACATCCTGCTCCCAGGGAACCAAGTCACCCAGGGCTGAGTCATCAATGCCACCCCCACCTCTGCTCCCAGGGCCTTTACCACTCATGCAGGGAAGAGCAAGGAGGCCGCCCCAAATAGAACCCACTGAGCTCCCGACAAACCTGACTTCGGGTACTGCCTGCCTCTGAAGCAGGGCCCCTACCTGGAGCTACAATCTTGCTGGAAGGTGGGGCCACAGTGTAGGGCTGCTGACTCTCAGGGGGACTGGAGCTGCCCTACTCGTCAGGCTGGCCCGAGTTTCTCTTCTAGCGATATAGATCAGATGCACCACCTTGTAGCCCTTGGTCCTTCACCATAGCCCACCATGGGGGGCAGGACTCATGGCCACCCTGCAGGTCCTTCAGAACATCACCCATGGGTAGCTGCCCCAGGACCCGGAGGACAGAGTTTCCCGTTCATTCAACTTACCCGTGTGGTCATCAGGCAGAGGAGGGCAGCCTCCTCTCGGTGCTTCATCAGACACGGGCCGAGTACAACAAGGTGGCCCTTCATCTGAATGCTGACCCGGCCACCAGCCACAATCTGGCCAGGCCACAGCAGGGCCAAGGGTGCTACTGGCACACAACAGGCCTCCAGGCTGGGCCTTCTGCTGGCACGGGCCCCACGCTGAGGCTGCCTGAGTCACCAGCTCCCAGGCTTGAAGGGCTCACATTTTTTAACCCCGCCCCCCACTGGGCCTCCCAATGGCAGTTTCAACAAACCCCACTCTAAGACAGAAAGGCGAGACTCCTTCAGGTGGGAGAAGTGCCGCAGGCCTCCTGAGACCGAGATCTGTGCAGGGCCGGGGCCCCGGGTAGCTCAACTGTGTGATAGGCACATCTCTGGCACTCATACCCCGCAGGTCAGGCCAGGCGGTGGGGCTCACTCACACAGAGTGCTCAGTGCCCCTGCCACCGTGGCTCCCCACTGCAGGCGAGAAGCCACCAAACCACTAAGCGGGGAGGAGTCACTCACGAAAAGCCCTGTCCCCTTGTGCTGGCCCCAGCATCGTGCCTGCAGGGCAGAATCCTGGAACAAGGCTGAGGGGTGGGTGGCCCCCATGTGTTCCCCTCCAGATGCTGCCATAGCTGTGCTTAAGACTCGTCACACGGGGCTGTCCCACCAGTCCTCAGACCCTGGCTCGTGCTGTAGTTGCCTGTGACCCGGGGGACAGCCCGGTGTGACAGGTGGTACTCTAGAGCGCCAGCACCAAAGGGGAATGAGATGTCAGTGTCCGACCGCTCCCTCATTTCTAACCTGCTGGACAGCACTCTCTTGGTTTAAAAGCCAGTCACCGCTGGTCTTTATAGGGCTCCTTTTAAAGAGTAAACCAAAAATGCCTTCATGACCCACCCCTTCCAGGAGCACAGGGGCTCTAGCCTGCCTGTGTCAAGCTGTGGGGGTCCTCCCTGGCGGTGGGTCCGATGTGCGTGTGTGCAGACTCCCTGGGCACTATGGGGGACCTCCCACGCTGCTAAGACCTCAAGTGGGGCAGGTCTGGGACACACCCACCTGCCTCCCCACCCTGTTCCATGAGGACCTTCAATGGGAATCCCTTGTGAGCTAATGGGCACCTGGCCACCCCCTAACCCAAGGCTCTAGAGCCCATGCTGACAGACACACACAAGTGTGAGAGAGCACTAAGTGTCCCTGGAGCATAACTGGGAACTCAAACGCCGAGCTTGTGAGACCAGAGGAAGTCACAAGTCACTCGTCCCACTTTAAAAGGAAGCAGTACTAGTGCCTAATGTAGAAAAGAGCTTCCCAGGGCGCTCCCCTCCCCCTCTGCCTTGAAGTATGGAAGGGAAGCATCAGCCTGTGGCCACTCTTGAGCTCACACAAGGCTACAAAGTGGCCCCCTTCACCGTACTGCTCACCACAGGGGGCTCAGGTCAGGCTGGGGAGGGATGTTGTCCCAACAGAAGGGGAAGACGTTGACAAAAGCCAATGCTGTGCACAAGCTCTCTCGCAGGAAGAACTGGGCAGTAGAAAGCACACGCCGGCTCGCCTCTCACTCACTCTCTGGAGCCAGACCTGGTTCCTAGCTGAGGGTCCGCCCACAGCCCCAGTCTCGGAGGGACACCTGCCCCTTTCTTCCCAGGCCTTGGAGACACTGGCCCACAGGTGTGGGGGAGGTGACAGTAGGGATGGCCCTCAGCCGCCCCGAGTGGTGGCACCAGCCCAGCCCAACAACTCCCAGGAAACAGCACAGAGCAATAACCCCTAAGCTCGTTTCAGGCAATCCTTCATTCCATGGGCCCAGGGCAGAGGCTCTCATCTAGCTAACAATTTCCCCAAATAACTCGGGGTGCAAGAGGAAGGCAGAATCTAGTCTTGTGCTTTGCCAAAGGCCTCTCATAT